CTGAGCATTAGGAGAGAGGCTGGCAGACCAGAGACTTTCCTGATCTTCTCAGTTTATCAAGTAACACATGGAATTTAGCTCCTTGGTGAAAAGGTAAGTTTTTACAAATTCTCCAGAATGAAAACATGGTGCCTTCCTGCCTCTTTGGCATGTCTGGCTTCCTCTGAAGTGGCCTAAGAAGTGGCCTAAGTTTCCCCTTGGAAACTTACAAAGCAAATTCAGATTCACAGCTCCCACAAACAGGGTTTCTCATCTATTGGTTTCCAACAGGAGCCCGAGAACCTGCATTTTCACAAGAACTCTCTAAATTATGATGCAAGAAATACTACTCTATTGAGGCAAGTAGAAAATTCGCCCCATTTTTTTCTTTGCAGTCAATAATTTTAATATTTAAAAATAATCCCCATATAGCATGGAACACAGAGAAAGGAATTTACAAGGATTATAAGGGTTGAAGAGATGGCTCAGCAGGTAAAGGCACTTGCTACCAAGCCCGACAACCTGAGTTCTATCTCAGGATCCACATGATGGAAAGTGAGCGCCAATTCCTGTAAATTGTCTTCTGACTTCTATACATGTGCTGTGGCATGTGCACCCACACACATACATGTACACAAAATAAACATGTAATAAATCAATCAATCAATCAAGACTTCAAAGTACTATGGGTATTCAATTTAGACTCCCAGAAACCTGAAAAACTTGACAATGTCTAGACTGTAAAATTTGAATGGCACTTGAAGCTGATCTTTTTTTTTACATTGTTCCATGTGTATATGATGTGTGTGTGCACATTTGTATGTGTGCATGATTATGTGTGTATAATGTGCATGTGTGCATGTTTGTGTTTGTGATTGTGTGTGCATATTTGCGTGTATGATGTGTGTGCATATTTATGTTTGTGAATATTTGTGTGTATGATGTATGTGAATGTTTGTATATGTATGATATGTATGTGTATGCATGTTTAATGTGTGAGTGTGGGTAGGCATGTGCTACTGCACATGTATGATCAGAGGTGTTGGTCCTTGCCTTACCCCTTTTTTTCTTTATTTTATACGTATGAGTATTATGCCTGCATGTATATAAGTGCACCTGTGTCATGCCATGCCCGAGGAGGACAGAAGAGGGTGTTAGATCCCCTGGAACTGAAGTTACAGACAGTTGTTAGCTAGCCACCAAGTGGGTGCTAGGAATCAAACCTGGGTCCTCTGCAAGAGCAACCAGTGCTCTTAACTGCCATCTTTCCAGTCCCACCTTCCACTTTTTTTTTGAGACAGGGCCTCTTGTTTGCCTGTGTATGCTATAAGCTCCTGGTGATTCTCCTGTCTCTGTGTCTCATCTCCCTGTAAGAGCACTGGGATTATAGATACACACTGTCATGTCTGGCTTTTCATGGACTCTAGGGATCTGAACTCAGGTCCTCACATGTGTGGCAAATCCTTTACCCACTTAGCCATCTTGCCCAGCCCTCCTCCCACCTTTAAATTTTTTTCATAAGATGCCATTGTTCCAGGGTGTAGCTTCTTAAGTTATGGGTTGTGATTGCATATGAGGCAGCGTAACAGAATGTGAGGCTGCGAAAGATTTGGTCACAGTAAAAGATTTCTGAACCACCAAAAATTATTTCAAAATGAAATACAAAGTGAAGCCGAGCTGTTTCTACCAGTGTCACTTGTGTTATATCACACAACTTTACTGAAGTTGCGGTTATGAACATACTTAGACCTGTGCATGCTGTCACCCAATGTAGCATTGATGAACACTGCCTGAAACACCTCAGCTCAGATTCCAGACTATTGTATGGAATGAACTGCAGTGATTTTACTGTACACACAAAATTTTCTGCTCTTACAGAAACATCATAGTTTAATTATGGAAAAACAAAGACTTTTAAAATATTCTTACAATTATTCCTCAGTATGTAACTATCAACTTAATTTATCTTTGGGTTGAACTGTATTAAAATGTTTGACTTTAAAAAATTGTTGTTTGAATTGCTGAATTGAATTTCATAAAAGATGTCTGGGAGAAACTGTGTTCTAATACAGTCATTCCTGCTCTGCTGTGCAGAAGCAAGCTTTGGTAATTCTGAAGCTCAGTTATGCTAGCTAGAATGCAAGCCCTATTTTGCTTGCTAGTCCAGTGGGTTAAGAAGTTCAGAACAGACAAGTGGCTTCTCAATCTCAACTTTCATTTTTTGGTTCATCAGTAGGACAAGACTACTAACACCTCCTAAACATCATAGGTCAGAGTTGGATATGTTTATGAGGGTGTTTCCAAAGAAATTTAACCAAATGGAATGTGGATACCAGTTCATGAGCTGGGGTCTTGAACTGAGTAAAAGGAGAGAGGAGAGAGAGAGAGACAGAGAGAGAGAGAGACAGAGAGAGAGACAGAGAGAGAGAACCAACAACCCTTGTTCTCTGCTCCCTGTTCTCTCTAGATGTGAAGAGGTAAGGAGTAATAGCTGACAGATGCCTCCCCTCTCTCCCATCATAAATTGTATCCTCAAAATGAGTTAAAGTAAACCCCTTCCTCCCTAAGTTACTTCTTGTCAGGTATTTGGTCACAACAATGAGATAAGTAACTAATTACAACAATCAATCAAATATAATGTATATTATAACTAAAGACAAATGGGGAACATATACTGGGGGCTTTAAAACAGTTTTGAGAGCTTAGCTCTTTCTAAATGTCAGAGACTATACTGACTCAAGGGTTGAGCGCCTAGAAAGAACATCAGCCTAGCCAAGCAGAAATGTTTGGAGAAGAGCTGGCTGATGTTGTAAAGCTGCAGCAGTCCACTTCTGTGGACATTGAATCTTTTGCCTAGCTCAGTGGGAAAGATGCAAAATGGCTCAAGTCTAGCTCTTGGAGACCCCTCACAGAGACTCCAAAGGGCAGCCTGATCACTTTCCCATATGCTCAGCAGTGAAACCAGAGATCCTAAGGAGAGGCATTCTGGTGGGGAGAAACATTTCTGGGCTTCTAAAGCATTTGTGATTAACTTGGGGTACACTTTTCTGTTTCCTCATGATAAGAGTCACCTGGGACACTGTATTCATTTCTTTTCTCATTACCATGACAAAATACTTTAAAAAAGCAAGTTAAGGAAAGAAAGACTTATTTTGGTTCACAGTCTGAGGGTATAGTCATCCTGGCAGGGGAGGGGTGGTGTGAGGAGCGTGTTCACATCACATCCTCAGTCAGGAAGCAGAATGGGCTGAATGTTGGCACTGAGCTCTCCATCTCCTTTTACTTAAGCTCATCTGAAGGTGCCGCCCACATTCAGGGTGGATTTGCCCTCCTCAGTTAAATCCTTCTAGAAACACCCTCACAGACCCACAGATGTTGTCTCCATGATGTTTCTAAGTCCAATCAAGTTGATGGTGAAGATTAACCATCATAGGCACTTAGTAACCTCCTTGAATATTTTGGGTATGTTAGAAGCTTAGAATTTTCCTTTTAAAAAAGTGGCCCAGGACTGGGGATGTAGCTCAGCACTAAAGTGCTTGCCTAGCTATGTGTGAAGGTGTTGGACACAATCTTCAGCGCCTATGGAAAAAAGAAAAAACAGTGTCCTGTGTTTTTATCACAGGGTGGTTAGTTTAGGAAGTATTGCTTTAGACAAAAGGGCAGCTCTCTCCACTCTGCAAAAGGAAGCTGATATAATCTTTAACTACTACAGAGAAGCATCTGCTTGGACAAAGTCTGTCCAGGAAAAGAAAAAACCTGGAGTCACTATTCTATGGAGAAGGAAATTCATGGGGTTGTTTGGAAAGTCTATAGTCATTAAGGACACATACCGTCATTAACGATCAAGTAGCCTTCTCTATATCAGCGTGGGTTTGGTTGTAAAACATAGCAGGTTCAAAAATACAGCTGTTTGTCTCATGGTAGAGGCCTGGAACTGTGTAGCCACCAGAGGGAGGGTCCGAAAGCCTGGGTCTGGGGCACATCTAACCACACCTGATGCTTATGCAAAGCCTCTGCCAGCAACACAGTATGCAGACAGGGTTCCTCTGGCATCTTTCCTCTCACTGCTGGAGTTACTCCCCAGATATGGAAGGCCAAAGAAACGTGGGAAAAAATGGTATCTTAGAACTTTGTAGAGACTGCTGTTAAGGGTTAAGAATTGCTGTGGTTTGAGTGTGATCCCTAAGCTCGTATGTTACTTATTTCTCAAATTCATACATTAATGATTCTGGGAGGTCTGGTCTTTGGGACATAATTGGAGATAGATGAGGTAGCTGGGGCGGGGTCCCATGAGGAGATTAGTGCTTTGTAAGAGGGAGAGAGATGCAAGCTGACATACTCTTGAGTTCTCATCATATGATGAGGCAGAAAGAAGGCCTTCATCACATGCCAACATGTTAATATTGGGTCTGAAACCTCTAGAACTGTGCAAAATAATTTTTTTTCTGTGTAAAATGGTCTATTAGCAAAGAGACTAAGACAAATATGAAAACTAGTGATTAAGTGTTTAAAAATAGAAATGCTGTTTTTCTATTTAAAAATAGAAAGTAGCAGTATACTTGTTTCTAATGAGCTGACCCAGTAGGAAAGTTCATTTAGGCTTGGAGCAGGTGGTAGGTGCATCCAGGGCTCCTTCCGCCGCTGGGGCAGCTCTGCCATTTTTACTGATCTGGCTTTAGTAGGAATGAAACAAGAACACAGTACTGTGACTATATAAAAGCAGCTCCCCAATAACAGCGGCTTCAGCAGCATTATTTGACTGAATGAGTGAGTGAATGAATGAATATGAGGTGGAAAGCTAGGATTGTTTTATAAAACAGAGACCTCCACTCATTGGTAATCTATGACAAAATTTCAGGTTTGACTTCTTGGACCTTTATTCTTCTAAACAAAGTTCAGCCCTCTGTGTGTTATACTCTGTTAACCACAGAAGCCCAAAGGTCTTCTCTAACTAGCCTGAGCCTGCGTTTCCCTGGTTCTCACAGTCTTTCTTTCTGAAGTGGGCACTCTTGTGAGGAGCCATGGAACACAGCAGCAACCGCCCAGACGACTTCCCGCTTAATGTGTTCTCTGTCACTCCTTACACACCCAGTACTGCCGACATCCAGGTGTCTGACGATGATAAGGCAGGGGCTACCTTGCTCTTCTCAGGCATCTTTCTGGGATTGGTAGGGATCACATTCACTGTCATGGGCTGGATCAAGTACCAGGGTGTCTCCCACTTTGAATGGACCCAGCTCCTCGGGCCCATCCTGCTCTCAGTGGGGGTCACCTTCATCCTGATTGCTGTGTGCAAGTTCAAAATGCTCTCCTGCCAGTGGTGCAAAGAAAATGAGGAAAGGGGCCTGGACTTGGAACAGACCTCGGGTGGACAGTCGTTCGTTTTCACCGGCATCAACCAGCCGATCACGTTCCATGGGGCAACTGTGGTGCAGTACATTCCTCCTCCTTACGGATCTACGGAGCCCCTGGGGATGAATACTACCTACCTGCAGCCCATGGTGAACCCATGTGGTCTCATACCTTCCAGCGGAGCAGTGGCTGCCTCACCGAATCCCCCTCAGTACTACGCTATTTACCCTCAGGATAACGCTGCATTTGTGGAGGGTGAGGACTACCCTCCTTTTGTGGCTGGAGGAAATGACAGGTATGTTGGGTCCTGGGGTTGCTCCCTTCCTGGTCAGCCATCACAGTTATGGTCCATGGCTATGTGTAGTCTTCCAGACGGGGTAGGGATTTAAAATCTCTGTGCAGCCTGCTACCCAGAGTGGTGGCGCTGGGTCTCTGTGAGTGCACCTCTGTTTTTCGCTGTTTCAGACCCAGCCCTGACGCTGACCAGCCAGAAGGGACACAGATGGAAGAGGACAACTCTGCTTGCTTCTCTCCTCCTCCCTATGAGGAAATATATGCCCTCCCTCGCTAGAGAATATAATTCTAAAGGAATGAGCGTTTAAGTCATTGTGACGTGGTACATGGAGAGTTCTAAGATGTTATCTTCAGAAGTTAGATGCCAGAGCAGCCCATGCAGCCCCACAGATGCCATTCAAGGTGGCAAAGGAAGTGTGTGTGTGTGTGTGTTGGTGGGGGTGTGTGTGTGTTCAGACTAGTAAAATTAAACTGGCCTGGATAAATTCTCCTGTGGTATAGTTTTGAATTATCTCAGCTAAGAAACCTCTGTAGGCCCCTAGTGGTAGAGCATTTGTGTTGTGCCGGAAGGCCCTGGCTTTGATATCCAACACTGAAAAAAGTAAAGCCCATCTACATGAGGTCCAGGAGGAGAAATGTCACCTGTTTCCCACCTCCCACCCTGTCCTATTCAAAGGCTTTGATGTCTCAGGATTTTCACCCCAACAGCTACAGTAACTTCCAGAGTGGTGAGGGCAGGAAGCAAGAAAGACAAAGTAGACCCAGCTAGAAAAATTTCCCAGTGTCTGTGCTGGACTCCAAAGTGGACTTACATATTCCAAACACCTTAGTTGCTATCTGGTCTCTCTTGAAGACTCTGACTCTCACAAAGCCTGTAAAAGAAAGAAATTTTAAAAAGCCATGAATAAATAAATGGATAAAAGGAGCAGAATAAAATAGTGTCTTCTGTTAGAATAGAAGAACTGGATGCTTGAGAAGCTGTATAGAAGAGATAATGGCAGGGTATTGTGTGAATAAATTCATAAGCCATTGCCGAGTCACAGCGATTCTTGTTCTGCAGGACTGAAGGTTGAACTGTAACATACATGAGTGGGCTCTTGGTCCACCCCAGACTGTGGTCTATGCTGGGCATGAATATGCTCAGCCAAAAGGCCTGTGGAACACAGGCATTTCTCTGTTAAGTTTCATAGAGTCAAGTTGCTGTACCAACCAGAAAGTCATGAGTTACAGAGACAAACTTCCTTCATGGCTAACTTGAGCTCACCTTCTTCATTAAAAAAA